TGTCATACATTCCAAATACGTTACCAAAATTATGTCCTCTATACACAACATTTTTACTATATACTATGCATTGTAATGACTATTTGACAAGGTACAAATTACTATGGTAATATGTACCATGACAAAAGGTAATCTATATTAATTACTACTAGAGCCATTAATACAAGCTCCAAAAAAAGTTTGTATCCCGCCAAAAATTATATGTTCCATGCATCCACAGTCCACACAAAAAGTATAGGACGACAAAAAACTTCCCAACTTCGCATAAGTGTGAATTATCTTCCGGGCAAAAAAATAGAAGATCCACATGTCAATGTCAAAAGCCATCTACACAACAAAAATTACACCCATTAGTTCCATTGTAAACAAAAAGTTATAGCCATCTACAAAACACAAATTGCAAGCATGGCAATTGTAATTGCAATTGTATGTAAATATTGTTTGAATTTAGGAATTTCAATATAGTTTCTTTACACGTTAAGTTGTATTGAAAGTGCAAAGAAATTTCCAAGTCAACCCCAAGTCAAGTTTAGTCTAATGTGTAAACATATATATATTTTACTCATAACTGTATATATATATATAGATGCTTATAGAACATATATATATTTGTATAAGCTTTATGCGTTTTTCACGCCAACTCCCAACGTACACGTGATAATTACGTCCCGTCTGTCCCCACAGGTCGTCTTTGACACGAGGAAGCTACCCGTCCCATCAAATGCTGGTTCAGGGCTGCTCTCAATTTTCGGCCCTCAAAGGCCTTTTTTCGGCTAAGTTTATGACGTTTTCACGCCAACTCCCAACGTACACGTGCTAATTACATCCCGTCTGTCCCCACAAGTCCTATTTGACACGAGGAAGCTACCCGTCCCATCAATATAGTGGTTCGAGGGCTGCTCTCAATTTTCGGCCCTCAAAGGCCTTTTTTCGGCTAAGTTTATGACGTTTTTACGCCAATCCAAACGTACACGTGCTAATTACATCCCGTTTGTCCCCACAAGTCCTATTTGACACGATGAAGCTACCCGTCCCATCCCGGCAATGGTTCGGGGGCTGCTCTCAATTTTCGGCACTCGAAGGCCTTTTTTCGGCTAAGTTTATGACGTTTTTGACGCCAACTCCCAACGTACAAGTGCTAATTACGTCCCGTCTATCTCCACAGGTCCTATTCGACACAAGGAAGCTACCCGTGCCATCCCCGCAGTGGTTGGGGGGCTGTTCGCAATTTTGGCCCTCGAAGGCCTTTTTTCAGCTAAGTTCATGGCGCATTTCACGCCAACACCCAATGTACACGTGCTAATTACGCCTCGTCTGTCCCCACAGGTCCTATTTGACATGACGAAGCTACCTGTGCCATCCCTACAGTGGTTCGGCGGCTGTTCTCAATTTTCGGCCCTCGAAGCCCTTTTTTCGACTTAGTTCATGGCGCATTTCACGCCAACGCCCAACGTACACGCGCTAATTACGTCCCACCCATCCCCATACGTCCTATTTCACACGAGGAAGCTACCCGTGCCATCCCCGCAATGGTTCAGGGGTTGCTCTCAATTTTCGGCCGTGGAAGGCCTTTTTTCGACTATGTTTATGGTGTTTTTATATGAGCCAATCCACCTTCTGGTTAGCATGTGGGAGAACACATTTAATTGATTTTAGCCTGAACACAGGCGCATCTGCAATTGTACAGGTGGATGCAAGTGTAGGCAACAAGGTGAGGATTCATGGATTTTTCTCCCTTAGTTTAATGAAATTTGGTTTTTTATTCCTATGGCTATATTGTAACCGATTTCCTTGATTTGATTCCCTAGTCTGAATACACTTCTTATGAGTCAATATGCTCTTGGAAAACAACCAAGAACCAAACAAATTGTGTGATAAGCTGATTAGAATGCATGGCACACTAAGAAGGCAGCTTATGATTGGGAAAATGTGGAGGTTTTAAAGATCAAAACTTTGTTTGCATCAGCTCCTGTAACTAGGCCAAATCAGGTTGATAATCTGTTGTGGGTAGCCTATCAAAGTGTTCATCCAACCAGGTTGCATCAGGTTGCATCAGCTCCTGTAACTAGTCCAAATCAGGTGGAAAATGTGGAGCTTTGTTCATCAAATTAGTGTTGGTTTTATTTGTATAGATTTATTATTAAGAAACTTAATATCACATATTCATTCTTCACAGTTAGAATTTTGAAATCAAAGCTCCTTTGTACTAGTTATAGTGTACTAGTTATATTGTACTAAATCAAAATTCATTCTACTTTCTCTTGGTTTCTTCAATTACTCTTAAATCTGAAATGACATTCAATTGGACTTGGTTATCTTATGGAAATTACGTCACGGTCCTTTGTGTAATGTATCAAAACACCAGGTTGGCTGCTGCAATGTCGCGTTGATTATGCCTCAAAACCTATTCGAAGCACATCACGAAAAATATTTGCATACCAACTTTAGAAAACAATTCTATGCCAATATGATCCATATTTTTTGTATAAGTTGCAGTAGCTTGTTAAGAACATTCTGTTTACCGAATAATAGGATGACCATCTGAACCTTGCAAGAGGGTTGTGAGTCGTGACACCACGTCGTTCAGATGATTGAGTTGTACACCTTGTGCCTCCCGTGCTTTTTTTTCTTCATCGACTTGTTTGATTAGCTGCTCTCTTTCCTTCGTAATTTCCTCCCGATCTCTTTGCCGCTCCTCTTTCTCCTTCAATAGCTCCTCTCGATCTCTTTGCCGCTCCTCTTTCTCCTTCAGCAACTCCTCGTGATCACTTTGACGCTGCTCACGAAGAACCTCCAGTTCCACTCTCATTGACTCCATATGTTTATCACGTGCTCGTGCCGCACTAGAGGCTGTGGAAGAGGGTTTTGGGCCTATCCCACATCCACGCAAGTAATTTTTTTTTTCCCCAAGCACTTGCCTTGATATTTCTTCGTGGGTCAATGGCAACCCCGCATCGGTGGCTGTTAGTTGTAGATTCACCATATCATCCTGTAATGGCAAGAAAATAATAAAGTCAAGATGGGAGAAGGAATTTAAAACAACTTTATTAATTGATATGCATCATAGTTGGTTTCAACATTCAATACTCACATGTAGCTCACCACATTTGGGGTCAATCCAATCTCCCGTCTTCTTGGACTTGTGTGCCTTCTTATAAAATTCGGGAAAATCTACATCTCCATCCTCATTTGCCTGTTACGTATGGAAAAATTCCATGGACGAATTAGTACATGGTAATATTCAAAATCAAGAAGAATCAATCATCCATTACATTACTAAATTAACTTCTCACCATAAGCGACATTGCTATAGGAAATGATCGCGATCCACTTGTATGATTATAGGGGAGCATACCCCTATTTGCTTTACCAACTGTAGAGCGTTTCTACAAAAATATGAAAAAAAAAATTACCTTAACTTAGTTTCAATGAAGAAGTTTTACATATATTAGTGAATAAGTTTTACATATTAACACATAAATTAATTTCAATAATGGGGTTTCTAATTAATTTGTTACCAAGTGAGATTCGTCTTTCCAAGCAACATCAATCAGATATTTCCAATCCTCCAAGCTCACTCCACTAGGTGGATGACTATAGGGGTCATCAACACCCTTTTCCTCAAGTTCGAGGAACTCTTGATTTAGATTGTACCTCCAATCCTTGTATAGCAAATATGCCTTCCTATCGAGGATTTGTTGAGCTTGTTTATCATTATCAAAATCATCGCCGATAACAAACTTGTCCTACAAACATAGTAAGAGAATTAGTAGAACAATTAATTTAACCAATTACAAATTACATAATAAAGACATTATGGCAAGATGAATCTCATACTAGCACCGCCTGGACGACCGCATCTTTCGTACTTTGATCAATTTTTATCCATGACTTCACGCTCTGAAGAGGACACAACCGTTTAATTTGAAGGCCCAACTCATTCATTGCTGGGGTGGCATTCCCTCCGGTGATTGCATTCAACACCCGATTGACATAGACGTGTAATTTCTCCCCTTTTTTCCCAGCAATTTTTTTCTGCACGCCTTTGCCTAATGTACGTCCCCGAACACGAGTTGACCTTGTTTTCCCTGGTACAAAAGGGGAAGGTAGTCAACATTACAAACAAAACAAAACCAAAATTTTTTTAAATAACTAAATAGTATGCTCTTACCCACTCCACCTAGTTGCGTCTCCTCCACCACAGTTTGTGTATCATCCGGTGGTTGCGTCTCATCAGAGAACGTCATCGGGGTGCCAATCTCCTGTGCGCATGCTTCAGATGTTGATAGTACGCTGCCACTTGTTGTTCTCTTCCGTCGGCCTGTCTTGACTCCCGGAACCATTGTACCTACATTACGTAACAAACGTACATGAGTAATAAACATCGCATAAATTAGTAGTGTAACTGCTGCAATAATGACACAACAATGTCTACTCAATAATAAATTGCTCGTTAATCAATGGTAACTAATAAACTAAGAGAACATGATGATGATACAAAAACAAACTTCTCAATAGTCCATTGTTATCCTTAATATACTCATTACCCCCAACAAAGTTTGGAATTATTGTTAACAACAAAATTTTTATAAATTGTTTGTGGCCTGCAATAACAAACCATGTATAAGAACAACTCAGCTAACAATATCAGTTTGTTTGTATGGCATTACTGTTTCCTTAGTATCCATAATTCTACCTAGGAATTATTCAGGGCCCTGTAACTATGAAATTCTGATGACTACTCAAAGGTGTACCCTTGCACAACATGGTTTTTCCTATAAGTTTGTCTATCTCAACTGCAAAACTGAACGTTTGCATAAATTCAGTATTTAATAGCTTTCCCTATCCTGTCTTTTGTGCACATATTGTCTCAAATTTGATATTGAACCATCTGGTGCATTTGTGTCTCTGCTTCTCATTGATTCTTTATACAGTTGGTGCAGGGATGCTGCAAAATTCGGATTGTTGCGGATTTGTGCAGGGATGCTGGCGAAATCTGGTAAACCAAGAAAGGTCAAAAGGTATGCCCTCATTAGCCTAAGGATGTGTTGGATTTTGGATTTGGAAGGGATTTGTGAAGGAAAGGTAAACGTGAAGAGAAGCCAATATTGAACTAACTGTAATATAGGCCAATAATAACATTACCCTTCCCATGCTTTAGACAAGGATCCCCGAAAGTCTCTGTCAGCCCTCAACTGTGCTCTTCTTTCAATAATTCATTATACAATTTAAAAGTTGCCCCACTGAGCTAACAATTATACAATATTCTGATTTAAACATCATGGTAATTCAAAATTGAAAGGTTTGTTGACATATGCAAGACAACCTGTAGTAAGGAAATAACGTAGTTAATGCCTAACAACTTACCCAGGTGAAATGCTTCCCACAGCCAAAACTACTAAAGAAATGCTCCCAATCAAGTATGGCACGAAGAAGCCCCAATCCTATATGACAATTACATGTGGATAAGAATGTTAGATGTGAAAATGCCTCAATTTCCTTCCATTCTCTTTACAAAAAAAATAAAATAAAATGTATTAGTCTGACAGCCTAACCATAATACAGATTAGTGCAAAACAAATATCTTTATTCATTACCCACTATCTGTAGAACATTAAAGACAATAGAATTATTACTCACATTAAAACATATCAAAAGTCACTGAAGCAGCCATCTCATAAGACAGGAATGAAAGAAGCTTCTATGAGCATAATCCACAGCTACAATTGTACTTCCTTTATCCTTTGCTCCTTGAAACTTACATCAAATAAACAATAGAAAGGTTAAAAAAAGAGAAATTCAGAACTCTACATAATATGAATTTGAAATTAATTCTTATGACAGTTTATTAATGTTGTAGAACATTTACAGAGAAAGAGGATAGAGGATATTATGTGAAGTTACCCCAGGAAGCCGACCGGCAAGAACACCCAAAAAGCCTGTTGTCCCTACCACCGTAAAGAGAAAAGCTGCCTGCATTAGTTAATTAAACAGTTAAACTACATATTTTGATACCAAGTACATTAACTAATTCAACGTTTTCAAAGCAGTAAACAAATGTACAGGTAGTCTGAGGGAAGCACATAAGTAGGCTGAGAAGTAAGCCTGTGAGGACCAGTGGTGAGGTGGCTGAGATGCAGGACAAGGCTGAACTGATGTGGACAAATGCTGTGGAGGGAAAACAGTAGTGGTAGGCGAAGAAGCAGGCTGATAGGAAGAGGATATCAAGGTAGGGGAGGGAGACCAAAAGAAGGACTGAAAAGAGGACAAATGAGGGTGTGGAGAGAGGTAATAGAAGAAAAGGGAAAAGTAGACTCTTGAAACCTAACATGCCTAAATAAGACAATTTTACCAATGAGAAGGTTGAGGCATCTATAGCCTTTGACACAGGGGAGGTAATTGAGAAAAACACAAGGTTGAGGTTTAGTGTGATATAACAATTCAAAATGAGAGCAAATTAATAGAGAGACGATAGGAAGTTGTAGCAATGGCTTCAAGTGTATAGTAAAGAGGACTGCTGTCATAAGGCTATAGCAGTCTTATCATATGTTTGCACACCATGCTCCCACAGATTAGTTAACTCTTCTACTAATGGTTGCAAGTGAACATCGATGTCCCTTCCAGGTGCGGATCGTCCGGGAATAAGCAATGACATCATGACAAATGGATCTTTCATACACTTCCATGGGGGTAGATTGTAAGGCATTAAGATTACGGGCCACATGCTGTACGATGTACTCATATGTCCGAATAAATTGAAACCATCCGTGGCAAGCCCTAGCCGTACATTCCGAGGATTCGCAGAGAACACAGGATGCAGCCTATCAAAGTCCTTCCATGCCTCACCATCAGCTGGATGTCACAATACTCCATCATCCAGACGCTTATCTTTGTGCTATCTCATATATGCAGCTGTTTTTTTCGACATGTACAATCTCTTCAACCTCGGTGTCAAAGGAAAGTACCTCAAGATTTTGTTCAACTTGTATCTAGACTCCATACATGTAGGACAATTCTCCAATGCGGGGTTGTCCTTCCAAAATAACGTACAATCATTCTTGCATGCATGAATGGCCTCATATCCCAAACCCAACTCACGTAAGAACTTTTTCGCTTCATAAAGGGTCCATGGAACATTTTCATCACACTTTGGTAGAATGTCTTTGAAAACGTGCATAACCATATCGAAAGATTTGTTGCTCCATTTATTGTACACCTTCAAGTGAAGCATCTTAATTACGAAGGACAAGATGGAGAACTTTTCACACTGTGGATATACTTGACGTTGAGCATCATCGAACAAATTCATGAATTTCAACAAATTGTGCCTCTCCGAACAAGTACGTTCTTCGTCAATATGATCATCCATGAGACCACTCATGTAAATCTCTTGTAACATGGTTGGAAGTTCATCCACATTTTCGTGAACCTTTGTCATTCCAGCTCGATCGGTTTGAGTATCATCATTTCGCATAGTAGGATGAGCACGAAACATGGGAACACGTTCCCTGTGGTGGACCCAAGTTCGATAAGAACATGCGATTCCTCTTCGAATCAAGTGCAACCGTACAACATGTCGAGGTAATTTCGTGCCGTTCAAGCAATCAACACAAGGACAACGGATTTCATCCTGCGGCCCTAAATTCTTCGTAGCAAACTCAATAAATGACTGAACACCTTGTACATACTCTTTACTTTTTAGCCTATCCGTTATCATCATTCAACTCTTGTCCATTATTAGAACAGTAGACATGAAGCGAAGATGAACCTGCGAATGGACGGCAACTTCGAAAAATACTCTGTAATGGAAGAGAGCTTAAGTAAGTTTAGGGGTTCGATTAGCATTGTTTTTTGAAATTAACAAAATAGTAATAACAGATCGGGATGTTTTGCCAATTTGTCAATTGCATATAGTTGGCTAATTTCACTACTAACTTGGCATGTATTGACACGCAAATGTGACATACATTCACAATTCTATGTGGAGTCATCTTAGAGGGAGAGAAATAATCCTAACCAAATTTAATAAAATTTACTAAAATCAGTGAGATTAAAAATTATTATATATATAATTTTCATAATACTTAAATTGTCTCTAAGGACAAAAGCTAAATTTCCATCATCCTAACAAAATGACAAAGCTTATAAGAAATCATTAATCTTTATCAAATTTTCTTCTCACTCTAGCTTCTTGGATTAGTATTTGTATCTTTATTCTATTCCTACCAAATCAAGCTTTAAATCGTAAATATACATATATCAACTTTATAAAACGATTTATAAACAAAAAATTTATATAGAAACTAGATCCACAATAATCTATCAATGACATTTATAAAATTATGAAAATAATTATGGATATTTTG